TCTCTCTCTCTCTCTCTCTCTCTCTCTCTCTCTCTCTCTCTCTCTCTCTCTCTCTCTGTGTGTGTGTGTGTGTGTATGTGTGTGTGTGTGTGTGTACCAGGCGCTAACCTGCGAAAAGGTGTCGAAGCTGGAGCGATGGCGTCAGAGGTAAGTCATCAGGTGAGTCTCCCTGGCCTCCACCATAGCCAGTCTCCGTCCAACCTCCGCTCCAGTAGGCTGCAGCGCTAGCTCGTGGCCGAAGTCCTAACGCAGCACCCAGCGCTGGAAGACTACCGCTATCCCATCGTCGACTACAGCTACTGCTGCTCATTACCTCTACGAATGCCTGAAGAATGCCTCCTGAAACTGAGGCCCACCAGCTATAAGTAGCGCTGGTCCGGCCTCAGGAAATGACCTGAGTGGGAACTTTGGCGCCTAACTTGGCGCCCAAACGAAACGGAGTTTGGCGCCTAAACTGGCGCCCAGCAGGGCCTGTGCCCTTGGAAATGGCGCCCGGGGCCTGAAACGGCGCCCAGGGCCTGTGTCCCCTGCTGCTGGCCTAACTGGGCCTCTAGCCAGGGGCCTGGCGCTAACGAAATGATGCGCCAGGGCCTACTGCTAATCTGGCTTTATCGGACCTACTAGCCCCGCTAACCCCTACTCCTACGGACCGGGCCCTGCAAAGGGCCCGTGTGGAACAGAGAATGCCACATTGGGGTACCCCGGGTGGGACCCCTGCCCGGCAAAGTGCAGGGGTCATTTCAAAATTCCAAATCGAACTCGCAGATTACAAAAGCGGTTCCCCAGAAGTGCAATACAAATAGCTTTTGGTTGACGCGAACTTGACGGTCATTTCAAAATTCCAAATCGAACTCGCAGATTACAAAAACAGACACAACAGTAGACTGAGTGCAGTGAACCAACTCCTTTTTATTTTGTTTTTTGATACCCACCTGGTCTGGATGAGATCCCAATTTCCACTTGTTGTCCAGATGAAACATTTTTTCAAACATTTTCCCATGTCATAAGCAGGATTGGGCTGAGAAGTGGACCCATCTGTCATATTATGGGTCCAACATTTTTTTTTCCAGTTTTTGACCCGTGTCATATTATGCACCCATCTCGGCTACCAGCCGGGAAGCCCGGGCCCACCTTGTTTTCCCGGGCTGCCCGGCCGTGCAAGGGCCAAAGAAGGCCCCTCCCCCCCCCCAAAAAAAAAAAAAAAACTAAAAAAAAAAATGCGATAGCTTATCATGCCTATCACTAAATCGGATAT